TTTTACACTAAATTCCATTCAAGACTCCATTTTACACTAAATTCTATTTCAACCCTAAAAAAATACATGGACAGGTTGGAATGGCTACATATTTGAGACAAGGAATAAAAAGTCTGCTTTTAAAACCCTTATTTTACCTAATAGAATAAACTGAGAGAAGCAACAGGACTAAGGAGAAGTCCCAAGCATCACTCTGCTGAATGGCAAACAACATACCAGAAGTCAACTACAAACACAAAAAAATCCAATTTAAAAACTTTCTTCCTCTGCAATTTGTTGTTGCATTGAACAGCTTCTCTAATTTGTCACAATCTTCTGCTTAAAGTCAAAAGAGGATGTGCTGTAACTCATTACTTTCCAGGAAAACAGCTTTAAAACATTTCAAAACAAGCCTTGGACCAGACAGAAATAGATTTGACTTGAAAAAAAAAAATTGCATAGCCATCAAGTTTCCCATTTAGATGACACAGCTCAAATATTATTCTTATCTTCTCAAAACTTCTTATCTTCTCAAAACTAAGACAATTTTTGCTACCCAGCAGTCCTGGCACTCTTCAATTCAACATGAGCCAGTGGAAGTAGCATTACACCATGACAAAGTATCTTCAGTTATAAGAGAGAATTTTGTAGTCAATTTTCTTTTTTCTGCTTTCAAGCAAAAGCACTGACATTCCTGTCTGTAAGGATTCAATGTGCTGCATCACTTGGATAATCACACTTTCTCCTGATGTTCAGCCCAAGTTAAAGGAACTTAATCAGAAACCCTTTTTTGTGATGCTGTCCCGCTCCCTGAATTAACTGGGAGCTCTTTTTGGATGTGCACAAATCAGGGGATCCTCTGTGTGGTTCAGAGTGGGCATGGTGATTCTCATCACCTCAAGAAACATACTCTGCCACTTCAGCTACTCACTCAGTTCCAGCTGCATCCACCAGCTTTTCCTAAGGATGGCCTAAAATATGCAAGTTTCAAACTCTGTCTCAAGGACATATTTTCAGTTTGGGTTTTTTAAGCTACATAAATCTTTCCCATGTCAGAAGATTTAAGAAACAGATTATGAAGTGTTCAGTTAATGAAACTTATTATTAGGAGTTTCCATTCCTGTGAAGAAAGGAGAAAACTAGCCTAATTCCTTTTGAGATCTGTGAAAAGACAGATCATGACAGGCATATTAACTGTGCTGCAGACTTGACATAAATCAAGTAAGCACTTCAGTTTTCTAAGATTTACTTCAGCAACTCTATTTACTGCAGTTCATTCATACTTGAAAATGACTGCAGGAAAATCAGTCCTGGTGAGTTTCTAACTAACCTCAGGTTCTTGGCCTTCTGAAGCCATTCAGTACTACACTTGAAATGTACACACCATGCTGTACACATCATTGCTTATGGCATCCAACAGTAGTTTTTCATGTTTCTATAGATACACTCATATTTCTCATAGAAAACAGCTGATAGCTTAGCAAAATCACCTTAAGCATTTATTGCATCTTGTTCTCAGGCATCCAAGAAAACAGGTCTTAGATTCTCCTGCCATCTCATGTTGTAATCAAATCCAGATTAAGCTAACATCACATAAACAGGTGCACTCAAGACTAACAAAGTCACTAGAATTAAGTCATTTGCAGTACTCAACCTACCAATGCCCCCTACTCAACCTACAAATCCCCCTCAGACATTTCTGAAGCTACAGAAACACCATGAAGATACTACATCAAAAACAGCAGTCAAAAGTAGATAGAAATGAAGAAAGAAGTAAACCATCCAATTAATCAAATTCAATATAAGACAATCAGTTTTGTGATTTAAAAGAAACTGAGCATTGAAGTTTTCTTGACTCTTTGCTTCAATATGGAAAAATTGTAGTAAATACATTTAAGGGCCATAAGAGAAATGATAAAGCAACCTAAGTATGAAATACCCTTCAAAGCATAATCTGACAAAGAATTGTAGAAATTAAATCCACCCAGATAAACGGGAGCCCTCACTACATGCACCATTTACTACTGTTTTACTTTCCAGAAAACTGTTGCATAAATTTCTTTGATCCTCCAGATGATTATTTACTCAGTGGAATAAAATAAAAACATTAAACATAAATAGGATTTTTTTTTACAGAAATCACATAAAACCCTTTGCTGTCAGAGTTACAAATAAAACCTGTTAAAAGAAAACCACACTATAAGAGAGGGCAGGCAAATAAAAATATGGAGGTAGTTTTCAGCGGTTTCAAATGGAGCTACACTGGCCCCACAACAACCAACACAGTGAATTTCCAGGAGGTCCCAGAAAAACACTGTGTTCTAAAATATTTAATTTACAATTGCAAAAAAAATATTTACACTAGGAAATTTCCACCCAAAATAATATTCACTATGCAGAAAAACCAAGATATCTTCTTCTGCAAACAATTAGCAAATGAGTCAAATTGTAATTTTGAAGTTAATATAATTCAGCTATTAAATAAGTAAATATTAGTTAATCCTTAAGCACATGCTTTATCCTTTGAAACACAAGTAGTCCCATTGAATTAATAACTGGTCACAGGCATCCTCAGCATCTCCTTGAAGAAATAGCTATAGCACCCATGTGTACAGCTGAGCAACACTGAAATCCATTCTACTGCAAAACTTCTTGGCCACTTAGCAGTTTTACATGTTGAGGACAGAGCTTTTATTTGTAGAGTGCATGAGTAAAAAAAATCTCCCTCTCTCCTGACCAGAGATTATTTGGCACATGAACAACAATATCTCATTCTCATACTCCAGGGAGTTTTAACCTGCCTCTAGCTAAAAGCTATACAATCTTTAGATTGCAGCAGAGTGTAAAAATCACTCTAATTAAATCAAGTAAGAACTGGTTCAACTAGTGTTACTGATCCCCCAAATAATTAAAATCAGTTAAGAAAAGTCAGAGGTTGGTACTTAGCTAAACGTAAACTTGTGCTAATTTTTTTAAGTAAGTTTTGCAATTCAACAACTACAAAGCAAACTTAAAGTAAGCTACAAGAGGAACCTGGACTATTCTGAGTATAAACTACCATGTAATACAGTTTCAGGACACTGTTTTTTTTCTTTTAATAAAATTTCTCCTGTCTTTGCATTTGTCCTAAGATGTAGTGAATGTATCTTAGAGCATGCCAAATTTAGTTGCAAACCAGTTGAAGCCTGACCTAAGGCCACTGTATTTCTGATATATGTGAACAGAATCTAGTTTGCACTGTCACATATATTTACACCTATTTACACCAGTTTTGCTTCTCTGCTTTATGATCTACCTTTTACACTGTTGTGCACCCATTGTTGCACCCTGGAGGCCTTTCAGGGCCCAGCTGTATTATCCTGGAGTCCTGGAACAAGCCTTTTAGAGGAGACTGACAGCATAGCAGGTTTCTTTCCAGTCCTGACAAAGCTAAAGCAAAGCAATGACAATACTCTGTGTGTTGATAAGCTCCATATGTACACCATGCAAATTTAAGACAAGGCAGCATAACAGCACAAGACATCAGTATATAATTGCCAAGCCCATTTTGTCACAAACTGGTGCCCTAAAGCCTCTAAACACCAGGTAGATAGGAAGGGGTAGAAAGTGAGTGATTTCTCACACAGAGCAGATAATTTCCTGCACTGTGTACAAAGTCTGATTGGTTTCCTGTCAGAACAGCCTGGTCTCTAAGTCTTTTGATCACTTTCCCCTGGCCCTTCACAGTTGCTCTGATTAGAGATTGATCCCCATGCTGCTCTTTGATCAGCAGCTCCGGCAGTCTGCAGGTGCCATATATCATCACATTAACAGGCCACAGCAGTATTAATCTCCCCCTTTTAAATTTGTTAGTGCACTGCATATTCTACCCACTCAAAGAACACTCGCAGAGGTCTCTGAAACTTTGCTTTCTATTAGAAGATATGACATAGAATACTTTTATTAGGGGAGTCCCAAGTTCAAAGTCGAGAGAATTGAATTAGCCTTGAATCTGCGTTTCTGCTTTATTTCATTACAGTTCAGAGAGTTTTGAGAGCTCCCAGCTTGGCCTTTTGTGTTGGTTTGTGCCCAGGGAGAAAGCTTGTTCTAGCTGACATGCTAAGTACTAAATTTTTCAGACACACCCCCCCGCCCCCCACCCCGTACGTTAAACACCAGGGTTTCCACGAATGTATGAAAACAGCCTTAATTTTGGATATTCTACAGTAAGTGTGGTTTCATGCAGTATATAACATTACAGTTTGCAAAGTATTCTTTAAAATTACTTCATAATAGCAGATCAAGAGGAAAGGCGCTTAAAAATCTGAATAATGTAAATCATATGGAGTTCAGAGGCTAAGCAAATTACACACCCCGAAGCTGCCCTTGCTGTATGAAAGGAGTCTTTCTCCAGCTCTGCGCAGCCCCAGCCCAGGGGAACTTGCATTTGAGAGTTTTCTAAACATTTCAGGTACACTTGAAAGTTGAAAGTAATTCTCATTTCCTATGCAGGATTAGCTCGTTTCCAGCCCGTACAAAACACCACTCATTCATGCACAGACACAAAAACCCACCCCCCGAGAGCCAAGCATTTAGGGTACAAAGGTGCGCGGTTCGTTGTTGGGTTTAGGTTGCTGGTTTTCAGTTTGCTCGGTTTCTTAGCAGGGCGAGGCGGTGTTCGGGAAGGGGACACGGTTTTTTTTGCACCTCAAGTAGCGCAGAAGAGGGAAACGCCGGGCTCCCCCCGCGGCTGCCGGACCGCTGGCTGCCCTTTTACCCGGAGCCGGCGGCAGAGCCGCGCTGCCCCCGCGCCCACCGCCCCGGGGCCGCGCTCCCGCGCCGCGGCCGCAGGAGAGGAGCCGGCAGGAGAGGAGCCGGCAGGAGAGGAGCCGGCAGGAGAGGAGCCGGCAGCAGAGGAGCCGGCAGCAGAGGAGCCGGCAGCAGAGGAGCCGGCAGGAGAACTCCGCTCCGCTCCGCGCCGGCCGGGCGCCCGCCCCCGCCCTGCCCCGGGCTGCGCAGCGGCGGGCGCTGCGGCTCCTTACCGTTCTGCTCCTTGGCGCCGGAGAAGGCGAACTTGCTGCTGAGATCGGATTCGGCGACGGCCCCCTGCCTCCGGCCGGCCAGGGCAGATGTCAGCAGGAGCAGCCCGAGGAGGAGCATTGGGCCGGCGGGGCGAGGGGCTCCGGCACAGCAGGCACTGGCGGCGCGGCACCGAGGCCCGGGCGTCTCTCAGCAGCGCCCGGCGCGGGCTGCGCCGCTGGGGAGAAGGCAGCACTGAGCCTGCTCTGGCAGCGGAGAATTGCAGGGTAGTTTCCACATAATCCCATCCAAAACTTTTTCCTAGCCCTCTTCTGTGTCTCCAGGTTTTGTTTTCCTTTGGCTTTTTTTTTTTTTTTTTTTTTCCGTTTTTCTTTAACTGGAATATAATGTATTTATAATATCTGTATGTAACCTTTTTTTTAATCTGTTCTCTTAAAAAGAAAAAAAAGAAAAAGAAGAAGAAGAAAGGATCAAAGGAAAATCTGGACCCAGACCAGCTTCCCAAGGACTAAACAATCCGTGGCCGTGGCGGGCGGGGGTCGGAGCGGCCGGGGCCGGTGCGGGGCTGCCGCGGAGCAGCGCGCACCTGTCAGCGGCAGCGGGGGCGGGCGGGGGGCGGGCAGCCCGCGCTCGCACACCAGCGCTCCCCTCGCCCGCAGCTCGGCCGCCGCGCTGCCAGCCCGGGCCGTGCCTGCCGGCTCCCCCCGCCCTCCGCGCCCGCCGTCCCATCACGGCGAGGGCGGCACCTGGCGCGGCCGTTTACGCCCCGGGAAGTTGTCGGTGGGAAGAAGGAGGCTGGCGGGCGGCCCCCGCCGCTGCCCCTCTCCAGCGGCCAAGTGGCGGCGCAACAGGTGCTGGCAAGGCAACCGGGGGGCTCCCCCAGCACCGTGTGCCCCGCGAAGGGGGCTCCTCCGCCGGCCCCCGGGGAGGACCCGAGGTCACCGCGGTGCGGAGTCGGTTTGTGTGTTCGGCAATTAGGGCGAGAGGCTGACTTACCCGTATTTGTTTACTGGGCTGTTATTATGGTAGTTGGGTTTGTGCTTGAAAACTTGGTGCTTGGTTAAACATTTTGTCTAAAGGATGCCCTTGGTAGTGGGAACTAAAATACTGAGAGGAAGCTTTAAAAAAATCTCTGAATACTTTATTTTTCTTTGCTTGTTTGGGTTTGTTTGGGATTTTTTGTACCAGAATTTGTTTTGATTACTCTGAACTGGGACATCTAACAATTATGTAAGCAGATGGAAACATAGGTTCTACTCTTTGTAACTGTCCCTGGCTTGTTGCAATGCCTTGTGGTACTTGGTGAAGTAAAGCAGACAGGATTGGGTTCCTTTTTGCTGTTTCACCAGAAACCAGAACTGAGATTATGTCAGGGAGTATTCCCCTGTTAATGCTGGTGAGGACTAAAAGGACTGATGATGTTCAGCAACCATATGCATGTTTGCTAGAGATGGCATTTCTAGTTTGCTACAGAACTGAAACTGTGACTATGTGGTGGGTCTGGGTAACAACACCGAACGCTAACTGGATACCAGGAAGGCAAAAGAAGCAATTAAGACAAATCTCTTTGTCTTGATTGAGAAGTTTTGGGAGGGTTTCTTAAATTTTTGACTTCAGCCCCCATAGGTCTATGGTTGTTTTGGGGATGGATGGGAGACCCATACAGCCATATATATTTTTGGGGGGCCTATAAACCATGATATGTGCAAACAGATAAAAGAGAAACTGAATCTGCATTGCCAGAATCTCAAGCACACACTACATAAATTTCTTATCCTTTGACCCAGCTCTTTCCATTATATAACTGAGCTGATTCTTTGCCTCAGCCAAAGTAACCCTTGAGACAGTGATAAACAACCCCTCTGTTCCTAATAAGTGACATATTTCCAGTAGCAACTGAAAGCTGTCCAGCCAAGCTGGGCTGTCTTCTGAAAAGCAGACTTGGAGCATACCGTAAATAGCAACCCTTAACTTACAGAGCATGAAGACAGAAATGTACTGCACAAAGCAGTACAATAATAATACAATAAACAATAATAACTTTTATTATTGTTATCCTTATAATTTTTTTTGCTTCACCATTGTTATTTTTTAACGGAAATAAAAATAACATGTACAACTTTCTAGGTCTCCTACTCAAGCAGTGTTTTCGAGTTTTTTTAAATCAAATAAATGAAGTATTACTGTAGCTTAACCTTCATTGCCTGAGGATTTTGTGGGAGTCTTTGTACTTTGCAGTACTGATGGCAAGTTCACTCTGGAAAACATGGACCTAATGTCTTATGCTATGTACATAAAAAATAAACTATCCATTGAAAAATCTAGGCTGCATCAGAGCAGGGTTTCATCTGGAGGTGCTGGAACATGCCCAGAGAAGGGTGGTGGAGCAGGTGAAGGATCTGGCACACAGCTCTGATGAGGAGCGGATGTAGGGTCGTTCTAGCCTAAACAGGAGGCTTGGGGTAAAGAGTATTGCTCTCTTCAGCTGCCTGAAAAGGAGGCTGTAACAAGGTAGGCATTGGTCTCTTCTCCCAAGTAATAAGCAACAGGACAAGATGAAACAGCATCAAGTTAGGTCAGGGGAGATTTAGATTGGATATTAGGCAAAATCTCTTCACAGGAAGGGTTTTGAAGCATTGGAACAAGCTACCTGGGGAAGTGGTGATCATGATTCCTGGAGGTGTTTAAAAGCTATCTAGATATGTCACATAGGAACATGGTTTAGTGGTGGACTTGGCAGTGCTGGGTTTGTGGTTGTACTTGGTCATTTAGGTCTTTTCTAACCTAAATGATTCCACAATTCTGTGGTCAGACTTTTCAAAGGAAAATGCAAGAACCCGCATAGTGGATGAATATGGAATAACGCTGCCTAGGGTGGAACCTTCCATTCTAAACCTCCTGTAATTAAAGGTCAGGGTATATTTTTGATCATTGAGACTTTACTTCTCTAAAAAACTCTTTCATTGCAAATTCCACCCAAAATATCATATGAGATAATCTCTGTCCTTAAATGTGTCCACTTTTCTCTGAAATTCATCCGAAGCATTTATCACCAGCTGTTTATTTTTAATGTTGCTCTCTGGTTTCCTCAGGTATATGTATGTGCTTGAGTTTTAAAAAGAAATAATTTATGTTTGCCTCCTTTAACCTCTTCATCCTCTGCGTTACAGCTGTATCACATCCTTTCCCACTTGGCATTTTTACTATGGTTTTCACATGAACACTTCTGTACTTCTAAAGTTTCTCAAGTGCCATCTGTTTTTGTTGTTTTATTTGGGGTGGGACAAACAGAACATGACATTCCAAGTGAAGGCCTAATCTAACATTAAATAGTGAATGAAAATAGAATGTTTCATTGTATATAGTATCTGATGTTCATACCTTTAAATTTTTATACGATCTACTCATATAATAACCCATGGAAGTATATTGGCATTAAAAAAAGTAAACATCTAGGTAATTATGACAAACTAATGTATGTGTAGTTCAGATAATTCCTGCTAGTGCATATTGCATCCCATACTGAATTTCACAGCAGACCACAGCACCAATGCAGCTAAGAGCTCTGGTGACTCAATGCCCAGTAAAAATTTCTCTAGATAGCATTTTTTTCTACATATATTATAAATAATTTTAACTACATAGAGCTTTATGTTCCTAAGTTTTCTGCATTATTAGAATTGCACTTCAGTTTTTGTCTTTATTTAAGTCACCTCACCATAACTCGTCTCACAATTATTTAGTCAACACTGTAGACTTTCAAAGACTTTTTTCCCCAAATGTTTTGTAATGTAGTCTATAAAGTGTGCCTCAAGTATTTTTCAACTTAAATATTGCAACAGATGTTTCTCTGTAAATTGCGATATTCTGAGATGCCAACTTTGCTCTGTAGAATAGCCTCACTGATTTTACATATTTTCAGATTGTTTTATGACCCTGTTTTTTATGATCCTTATTGAGAACTATGTTTAAAAGTGTATTTCTTTTACTAGAATAAAATTTGAACTATCTGGATTATCCCACAGGAATTTATTGTGTTGAGACTTAGCCACCATAGAAGGCAACAGAAATTTGGCCTGTTAGGATATCAGACTTAATGTGACGCTCTATTGCCTTTCTGAACTATAAATATCCTTGAAATGAAAAGGCATTCTCTGTGATTATTATTAACTGAAAGGGTTACCATTAAAACATGCATTTATCACACAATCTTCAAAACCTTCCCTTACATTAGCAAATAGATTTCCCCACACCAAATGGTCACAGTGCACACAGAGGAGGACAGTTACACGTGCTCCACACCTTGTCCCTTCACCACTTTGCAAGAAAGGTTCCCCATCACTTTTGCAAGTGGGCTGGAGCTGGCAAGGTGCATCGATGCTCACAGACTGCCCTTTGTGGTTTGAGCTGATGCCAAGAGTTATAGACTGATTTTAGGGAGCTCTAAATATCCCAAGTAAGTTCTGTGAGGAAGTGTGCTATTTCCTTTTCCTAATATGCTGTTTCAAAAAGACTTTTTTTCCCTCCAAAAGGTTTGCAATGACATAAGCATTTCTCATGTGAGAAATGCTTATGTCAGGAATAGGATAAGAAATAGTGTTTGGGAGGAAAATAGCAAAAGGCTGAGATATAAACCCATTATTAGGCATGATGAACTTAAGGAAAATGCTTCTGGAGATATATAATTCTGGAAATGCAGTAGCTTCTATCAAATTCATGTCTCACAAGAGTCAGAGCTAAACATGTATGTACCTTTGGAAGACTACAACCCACTGTTGGGAAAAGAAGATGGATTGATTCACTTTGCTCTCCAAAGTTTGTTTCATTCCTTAATAAAAATAGGGAAAAATTAATTAATACATATGTACTTTTATATTCCCATATATTCCAAATGTACTTGTATAATCCTTGTAAGTTCATAATAAAGGCAAAACAGTATTTTGCAAAATTTAGAATATAATTTAAAACTAATAAATATCTGCTCATCCAGACACATAGGCAAGTGTCCACTTTTGTGCCAAGTGCTTCTGATTTCAGCGTAGTTACACATGAATTACTGGTATAAAAGGGCTCAGCTTTAAATGCTTATGTTCATAATATGGAATTATTTTTAATTATTAAGTTAGTTATTAAATAATATGTTTTGTTAAAATATTTTTATGGATGAGTGATAAATATGAAAACAGAAATTGCATTACAAACAGTGATTGCCTTTTAGAAAAGCAATAATAAAATTTTCTACTATTATGATCACTGAGCAATTGGAAAAGAGGCATTTGTACAAATAAACATGCCCCTTTTAAACTTATTCATCTGAAGTGCAAAGGCTGTGTATGGAAT